ATATATATATGTGTGTGTATATATAATCAGATAGTAAATATTTAAGAGCTTACTTATTAATAATTTGTTAATAGGGTCATTTTTAATGCTTAACTTGAATAAACAGACCTTCAAAATGGGTTTAAGTGTAAAATGAAATCAACTTGCATCTGCACTCAAGCCAAAACAAACACAAAACAACTTGATGCATTCAAACCCATTAAGGAACTTTATATTTAAAAGTAAAATTAATCAGCCAAAAAGTCTGCCCTCAATGTTTAAAGTGTCATTTTATGAAACAATACATTTAGTTTCAAAGTCACTCAATCAAAAATTAAGCAATGAACGGTTTGTTCACGTGACATTTGATTGTTCTGGTCAAACAGCAGATTTCCCTCGAATCTTATTGTTTTATTGTTGACTTGCAGGATGAAAATAAAGCCTGTGTAAATGGGAGCTTCAGGTTCTTCATCTCCCTAAAAAAAATAAATAAATAAAACAAGAAAAAACATGATTCAAATCCTCTTTAAATATTGCAAAAGGTTAATTTAAAATCAGCCTTGGGGGGGAGAAGGCAGCTTTATTTGCATAGATCATTAAAGCAATTTTATTGAAGTTCACACAATATCACTGTTCTGTTTAAAAGCTCTTTTAAGTTGCATCACAAAAGTTTGTGATGCAAGAAAAAGCCCACAGATTGTGAGGTCTTACACCAGCTTGCCATTTTAAAAAGATGTTTGGGGTTTTTTTTTTGTGTGTGTGTGTGCCAAACAATAAAAACAGCAAACAACATCCGAATAAACAGCATATGACGACATCTTCAGGAAGTTGTTTACAAATTGCAAAATGTGTTCATTTTTGTTAAATTAAAGCGGGAAAAAAAAGGCATGCAATCCGTTGCACCAGAGGTCGGTTTAGTTTTAAAACTCCTTGTGTCCCCACAAAGTCTGATTAATGCAGCAGCTGAGTAAAGGCAGCGTCGTGGCAAGTTTCTCAAGTCGTGCTTTTTGTTTTCTAAATAACTCAAGAGTCAGATTTGTGATGATTTCTACATCACTTTATTTTAGCTGCAGTTTCACAATCAAATGTTTCAAACCAGTCAGACTCGGTGTGTGTCAGTGTGTGTATGCATGAGCGAGAGAGGGTGTGTGTGTGTGAGAGAGAGGGAGAGGGAGGGTGTGCGTGTGTGAGAGAGAGAGGGAGGGTGTGCGTGTGTGAGAGAGAGAGGGAGGGTGGGTGGATGACGCTGCCAAGGTGACTCAGGGTGTTTCAGCAGGAGTGAAAGCAGTGTTTCCCCACAGCAGGCAAGTGTCACCAGGGTGACCGCAAGTTATGAGAAACACCCAAACACACACACACTCACAGTTTGTGTGTAGGTGTTGACTATTTAAAGCCTTTTTAAACTATAAACTGTTTTGCTCTGATGCAACGATCTGAAAGCTGTAGCTCCTGTCAGCTTACAGGAAGTTGCATCAGGAAGCCTATAGACACCCACCGTGTAACATGTAAGCAGCAGGGATGCAGAACACAATTTGATTTGATCCTAATACATCTTCTTACTTAATTTGAAAATGTTAGAGGTTTTTTTTCCTGTGGAAAGAGGCGGCCTGTAGAGGGCGCTGCAGTGAAGCACAACTCAGTTTATCCTTTTAACTCATCAAAACAAGTTTCTAACCTAGTCACAACTTTTTATGCATAAAAAACATGTTTTATGGACATTTTGTCCTGGATGACATAACGTTTAATAAGCAGCTTATAAAAGAAACGTAAGGCATAAAAGTAAGATGTTTATTCACAGTTTGTGGAACGTTAACTAGAATAGATTTAATGTTAGAAGTGTTCTGTTTTAGCTCCCGTCTCAGCAAGGCCYCTTCCCTAAAAAGGCTGTCTGGTCCAGTTGGGAGCTGCTCATCTTCTGAGAGAAGCTAAATCAAGCCCCAAGCTGTCATCGTGTAAATGTGTTTCAATGTGATCCAGACCAGCCGTTCAAGGTTTTCACCTTCTGACCCTAAAAAAATAATAAAATACACACATATATTGTGACCCCAACAACTACTCGTTGAAGTAAAAACATACTATGCAAATAAACCAGGCTGTAATATTGTAGCCTTGACAACTATTAACATTAGGGGGGCASTGATTTCCTTAATTTTGGGAAATCTGAGAGTGGACGATCCTTAGATGAGATCAGCCRCTGTCCCTTTCTGCTCTGCTGTGAGCACTACCTAATGTCCAGTTAAAACATGTTTGCAAGGGAATTATGCAAAGTATTCCATTAAAATAACATTGGAACATTAACGTTGTATTGCGATGTTATAACACCAGTGTTCGCTATTAAAAAAAATCGGTATCGGCCAAAATCGGAATGGGCAGGGCAGACTTTTAAAAGATCGGTGATCAAGCCAGAAAGCTGCTATCAGTGCACCCCAAATCAAAATTTCATTGATTTTACTTTGTTCTTGATACTGTATCATATTAAGACCTCCCATTTGGTGTTTTAAAGTTGGGGCCAGGGGTCCACAGTGGGTTGTGAAGCATTAAAAAAAGGGGGTCTTGATCTTGGGTATTGAGGTCCTTGAGGAATATTGGACTCCCCAGTTGGAGCACCTTCCAGCCCGCTAATAACTCCAAGAAGGCTGGGTACTTTTAACTGCCGATCGACGGAACAGAACCCACCTTGTTCAGTAAGCTGAGCCTGGCTAGATCTAGTCGGTACCTTTCAACCTCATGCACAAGAAGTTACATCCGTAGTCTAAGAGCCCGTTTCAGTAAGCTAGGGTCRACTGCTGTCCATATCAATATGCACCTGACCTGTATGGCCCCTCATACAGAATCGTTGTGTTGGAGCAGAGAAACAAGTAAAACATGCAGGGCTGCGGCCCTCGAGGACCAGGATTGACTATCCCTGGTCTACATGAACGTAGAGTATCGTGCAGAAATGTGTCGGTATTGACCGTCTGATGTCACTTATCTTCTGCAGTCACAGATGAGCATGGGCGTGGCCACAACCAGGAGTCAGCGGTGTCTGAAGAGGCTGTTGGCGGAGCCTCAAGATAACTTACCGAAATGTAAAAAAGCTCGTCTGGACCCACCTCCTCCCTCCAGTGGCTTTTCAGCTTACCTCAGGCCGACAAACCCCGCCCCCAGACCCAACCAGAGCCAGCCCCCRTCCAGAGTCGGACCATACCTCCTCCACGAGAGCTCCGAGGTGGAGGAGACGTACAGAGCTGTGCACGCAAACACGCAGGAGCAGTACACCTGCCAGGTAATCCGATTAAAGTACTTCAGATTTCCACAGGAAGACTTTAAAACCCGCTCACAGTGCTTGTGCRTCGTTACAGGTGCTCCCCCTGCGCGGTTACCAGGACCGTCTGGCCGCCTACAGCCGCATCGGTAAACACGAAAACATCTGCGGGCTGCAGGACGTGGTCGTCACCCAAGACAAAGTGTACGTCTTCCTGCCCGGTCATCACGGCGACATGCACGCGTACGTGCGCAGCAGGAAGCGCCTGGACGAAGAGGAGGCGGGGCGTCTGTTCGCTCAGATGCTGAATGCCGTGGCTCACTGTCATGGCCACGGGGTCATCCTGAGAGACCTGAAGCTACGGCGGTTCGTCTTCACAGACAAGTACAGGTGAACTCTCTATCTGTACTTTTCTCATAAATTATACTTTTTACTAGTACTTTAGCTTCAATGGAAGAAAAAAACTGACTTTTTTCTTCCTCCAGGACTCATCTTGCTCTGCTCGGCCTAAACGACATCGTCCTCCTGCACGGTAACCCCGATGACGACCTTCTGACGGACAGACACGGCTGCCCCGCCTACGTGGGCCCCGAGCTGCTGACCAACGGGAACCGGTCGTACTCTGGTCGGGCCGCGGACATCTGGAGCCTGGGCGTGTCCCTGTACACCATGCTGATCGGACGATACCCGTTCCAGGACACGCAGCCCGCCGCCCTGTTCGCCAAGATACGCCGCGGCGTGTTCAGCCTGCCCGGCTGGCTGTCTTCGCCGGCCCGGTGCCTGATCGGCTGCATGCTGAGGAGGGAGCCCGCGGAAAGGCTCAAGGCGTCTGAGCTGCTGATGCACCCATGGCTGGCCGGCGCCCCCGCGCAGCACCACAACATGAACAAGACGCAGCACGACCAAAGCTCGGCGCAGAACAGACGAGAGGACGGTGACCAAGTGGTTCCAACCTGGACAGAAAAACACTGACCTGTGAGAACCAGCACTGATACACCGCCTGGCCAAAAGTCAGATTTACCTTTGATCATGGCAACAACTGTGGCGTCACTTCCATCGGTTTGTTTTAACGTGACTTTTAGGTCCACCCAGAAAAGATGCATCCTTCAGAAACACAAAGATCTCCTGCTTCTTGTAGAAGTTAAAGTTCATTTTACTTACCGTATTTATTCATGTAGAATACGATCTYGAGTAGGGTTGGGCATAATCATATCGTGTGCAATTAATCGTCAGAAAAACATTAATCGATTACTTTTTGGCACCTGACGATTAATACGATTAAAGCCAGCAGGCAGAGACCGCTTGGTGCTCCTCTCTGCTTCAAATATGACAAATAAATTACAGAACTTATTTTAATGTTTATCTATCAACACAATTTAAAATTTGATGTATAGATCATTTTTTGAGCTTAAAAATCATTAAAAATCTAATCATTACGGATGCACCGATAGGAAAATTTCAGCCGATATCGTTATAATTATTGCCGTTATGGCCGATAACCGATATTTACCGATATTACACAAACAAATGTACGTAAATAAACAACCAGACCTCTGACATGGCTCTAATTCAGTTATTCCTGGCTGTGCAGCATCAATATCACGATCAGATACCGCTCGACCAAACACTACCTCCCAAAACACAAACACAAAGCTAAAAAATGGGAAATCAGTATCGGATGTTAATATCGGACCAGTTTTACATATCAGGCCGTTACCAATGTTAATGCCGATATATCATGCATCTCTACTAATCATCAAAAACCCGTGTATACTGCTACCCCTCCACTTTATGATTTTTAGGGTTAAATTTCTAGTATTATATATGAATAAATACCGTAATTAAATACTGACTATATTTTGTCCAGGCAGCTCATCAAGCCTGCAACATTTCTCTAAAGAGGCTCTGTCTCACGTGTACTCTCACATGAAGTGATAAACATTACCAAGTATATAATCCTGGATTACTTGAACCTCCAGTGCCTTCCYCTAACAGCCGTGTCTCCACCTCTGGCTCGCTTCTTTCAGACGGCGGGGGGGCTCAAATGACCTCGTCTCGAGACTTCGGCYCGCTCTCTTTCTAAATTATTTATGCTGCACAGGTAATCGATTTTACACATAAGTACGAGGCGCAGGGAGTGCTCGTGTGTGCCTCAACTTCAGTGTGTAGAAATATTCAATAGATTGTTGGTGCGCAGAGGAGCAGCTTTATGGAAAATCTGCTTTTCTAAAACTGTAGTTTTTATGTTGATTGTCCAGACAGTCTCATGCTGAAAGCTGATGCTCATGATTTTTTTTATTTTTTGCTCCTTCGTGATTAATATTTATTAATATATGATTTCATAGTCAAATTTAGCTTGTCAAAAATAAGACTCAACACAAAGTGGTTGATTTATGTTAAATATCTTGTAAATATTTGTCTTCCACTGACATCTAATGAGTGACTTAAAGTTAATATTTTAAATATTATGTCTGGACTGTTTTGAATTAGCCTGCTGTATTAATTTAATACAGAACGTAAAAAAACAACAACACCTGAATGCACCATTTGAAAGAAGCACCTGCTGAAATGGGGCGCAGAATTTCATTTAAGCGTTTAATTTTTTTTAGATCTTTGCAGCATTTAGTAGAGAAATGTTACCTGAACGCATTATTAAAAGAACAAATGATCTGAAAGAAGTTTAATAGAGCTGTAACAATTGAAATTAACTTCAGTATAAATATAGAAGTTTCTGATGATTCCAGTCTGTAAAACAAAATGAGACGTTTATTTTTTTGAAGCATTCAATTTTTGTATCAAAACAAAATTTTTTTTCCCAATAATTGTTATTTTTGTGGCCCACCTAAGACGGTGTTTTAAGATTCTTGTGTATTTTTGTTTAGACAAAAAGATAAAGGATGAATTTGTGTTTTTGTTACATAAACTTTAGTGCAATTTGAGTATTTTTAAGCTTAAAATCCACTTCTATGACCAAACTGGAGTGGATAAAAGGAATGAATCAGATGCACCCTGTATTGGTTTGTAGAAAGAAAATATTTATTTTGATTTTGAGATACTGAAGTTGTTCTTTATTTGTCTTTGAGGCTTCATTCAGAACTGCAGCCCTTTGATAATAAATAAAAGCATTTGAAAAGTGTTTTGCTCTTTTAACATTTACTGCTGTCCTCTTACCCACACATCACAACAGTGGAACAACTGATGCAGATTTAGTCTTTTTTTTTGTTGCTCTTTTTACTTTCCTTTTAAATAAAACCAAACTCACATGTCAAACCTGAGGCCCACGGGCCAAATATGGCCAGTCGTGGCATTTTATGTGGCCCCTGACCGAACATGTTAATCACGAGTTTACCTATTTTATTATTTTACATGCTGTTTATTTA